CTAGAGGGGGGACTTAGGCTGCCCACAAAGTTTTGTTAAGATCAGCTGGGAAGTTGACATTCAGTTGTCCTTCACAGGCTTCAAGCAAAGACCTACTTTTAAGTACCCGGGATCAATAAGGTGGAAATGCTTATTATTGTTATCAACATTTTTTTTTTTGTGGTATCAGGGGTGCCTAACCACTGAGCCAAACCCCCATCCCTTCTTTATCTTTTTAGTAACAGGATTTGGGTAAGTTGCTGAGGCTGGCCTCGACCTTGCCATCCTCCTTCCTCAGCCTCCCGAGTTGCTGAGATTACCCGTAGGCACCACCACGTCCTGATTTTAAGCTCAGCTGATGGACACACGTTAATTCCACCCGCAACCATCTTCTCCTGCTGCTGCTTAAAATCATTGCTGAAATCACAGTATTGCAAGGCCAGGGGCCATCGAAGGTGACCTTCACAGGTCTCAGGAAATCTGCACAACCTCCCAGGACTAGTATTCGGCTGGTATTTTTCAGAATTAGGGATTTCTTAGTCTAATGTAAGCTCCGCATGCTCGGCGTAGAATAGGTGCTAGGAAATATCTTGGGTGTTGAAGATAAATCAACCCTGTTCCTTGTTATCATGAGAACTGCCCCACCCACCCCTGTCCCATCCATCTGTTCCACCTGAGCACCCCAGATTCCCCACTCTTTCTCTGGCCCAGTGTGGGTCCCTGAGCCAACCAGCCAATCAAATCTCTTCCTTGGTGGCTCAGGAGGCTGAGGCAGGAGGACAGCCAGTTCAAGGCCAGCCTCCACAATTTAGCGAGGCACTAAGCAACTTAGCAAGATCCTGACCCTAAATAAAATGCAAAAAATGGCTGGGGATGTGGCTCAGGGGTTAAGAACCCCTGGGTTCAATCCCCAGCACAAAAAAACAAACTCATTGTTTCCTGGAATTCTTATAATGGAATTAAAAACACTGTGTTCCCCACTTGGGCAGCTGAGAACCACAGAATCTAACTCGGCTCCTGTAGGGCAGAGACTCAGTCCACCCTGCAAAGAGAGAAGCCACCAACCAGGCAGGAAGACGTGGGTTGTTATTGTTTTTTTTTTTTTTAATTTCTTGGTTCCAGTCACGTCTTGGTTAAGTCACACCCATAACATTCCCAAATCTGGATTCTCTAAATTTGCAATGAATTGTGCTTTACTCAGCTTGTTCATTGCTGGGACCAAAAGACGCAGCAGAACATCTTAGAGGAGGAGAAGTTCATCTGGGGCTCACGGTGTCCGAGGTTCAGTCCCTGGTGGCCGACTCCATGGCTCTGGCCCAAGGGGAGCAGAACAAGATGGCGGCAGGGCCTGGAGGAGGAGAGCAGCTCAGCACAGGGCACCAGGGAGCAGAGAGAGCTCTGCTCACCAGGCACAGGACAGAGACCCCAAAGTCCCGTCCCCAGTGACCACCTCCTCCAGCCACACCCACCTGCTACAGCCACCACCCAGTGAGTCCATTCAAGTGGATTAATCCACTGACCAGGTTAAGTGTCTCATAACCTGATTATTTCACCTGTGGACATTCTTGCATGGTCTCACCAAGAGCTTTTGGGTGACACCTCATATCCAAACCCTAACAAGTCACAGCAAACAAGGGCCCCTCTGAGGAATGGTCACCTTTTCCCCCACACGGCCAGATGGAGTCTGGAGACCGATGATCCTGATGTTCGTAGGGATTTCAGAAAGGGTGGGGGAGTTGAAAGGATGAATACTCTGCTAGAAATTGTATCCTGATGTCGATCTAATGCCGTCGATGAGACCCAAGCTCATTCTGCCTTGATGTAGTGGACGCTTGGTGTTCAACCTCTCTAGAGTCCTGCGGCCTCCCTTTCACGGTCGCCATTTTGCAAGCTGTAGAGACCTTTCCAGCCAGAGCCACTGACCTTGGAGGATCTTACCAGGCTTGGAAACAGGACTCCTGCGTGGCACATTTCCAACAAGCAGTCAGGACGGCAGGAATCCGGATTCAGCTGGTCCTCGTTCCTAGACCTGTACATTCACAATGTCCACTGATCACATCACCTACGGAGGAAGCCCGCCCAGATCTCGTGACGCCTCGGGGTACGGCTCAGCCAGGTGGACACCCCATCCACTTCTCTGGAAAACACTGTTCCCCTAAATGACCACAGAGCCCCCTCCCCAGCCCTATTTTGCATTTTATTTAGAGACAGGGTCTCCCTGAGTTGCTTACAACCTCACTTTGGCGGAGGCTGGCTTTGAACTCACGATCCTCCTGCCTCAGCCTCCCAAACTGTGGGATTACTGGTGTGAACCACCACGCCTGGTATATTCCCTTTTTCCTTTTAACTCTGATTCTAAACAAAACCAAGAGTCCCCAATAAAATGAGGGAGTTCCCATAGATGACATTTCTGCATTCATCAACCTCTTGATTGACAGTCATCGTGAGTTCCAATGTCATCCCTCCTTTATGAACTAACAAGGGACTTATTATTCTCAGACTTTCGGAGCTTGGCTACTCAAACGTCCAAGCCGTACCCTGCATTCCTGCCCCCATGGGGTCACTCTTCTGCGCCCCACACCCTGAGCGGATCCTGGCTAAATCCCTTCTCTTGTTAACGACGGTGTTCACACACGCCCCTCTGTACCCCGTGGGGCTGACGCACTCTGACTTTCTCCGCACAACTATCAGAAGGTTAAATATGCGACTCAAAGCTAATTAGTCCATCTGCCCCTTGGCCTCCAAAGAGAAATGAATCATCTGCAAAAAAACATGAATAACGTCTCGACACCTACAAGGTAGAAATTCGTTAAAATTGGTAATTTCAAGAATCGAGCCTCAGTTGAGTAGGTCCTGGTTTTTACCAGTGAACACCCCCTTCCGCAAGACCTGCTTTATTTTAAAGGGAAGTTGGTGCAATTATTCTGCTTTTGAAGAAAAAAAAAAACAGAATATGTAAAACACTTGCATGATGTTCTGGGCTTAATCATCAGCGCCATGAAAAAATAAAAATAAAAATAAGGATATGCATGGTTGTGGTTTAGACATGAGATGTCCCCCCAAAGCTCACAATTGTGGTTTAGACATGAGACGTCCCCCAAAAGCTCATGTGTGAGACAATGCAAGAAAGTTCACAGGTGCCATGATTGGGTTATGAGAGTCTTAATCAAGTAAGTGGATTAATCCACTGATGTGGATTGACTCAAGTGCACAAGTCACGTAGGGCAGGAGGAGGTGGGCCACTGATCTGTGCCTTTAGGGTTCATGTTTTGCCTGTGGTGAGAAGACAAAGACTTCTCTGTCTCCTGGTGGCCACGTCCTGAGCATCTTTTCCCTTCCGCCATGATGCTCTGCCTCACCTTGGACTCAGAGCCATGGAGTCCGCCATCTTTGAATGAGACCTCTGAAACTCTGAGCCTCAAAAAGAACTTTTCTCCTCTAAAAAAGGGTGCTTTTCAGGTCTTTTGCTCACAGGAGCAAAAAAGTGTATTAGGTATTCATTGATTGATTGATAGACTGTGTTTTTTTGGGGGGGTGGGTGTGTGCGTGTGTGTAAATATTCTGGCTTTGGACTCCCACCAGCCAAAGTCCATGATTCACATAGTTTTGGGAAACCCATTCGTCTTCTTGGGCCCCTGTTAGATTTCCAATTCCCGGGTCGGGACCGTACACGCACATGGCCCCACGCAGTGGAGAGCGCCCAGTGAGCAGAACCGGGTTCCGCGTTAACTAGAAATGCCTTTTCCACGAGGTCGCATTCTCCTGCCTTTTTAAAAAAAATTCCCCCCAGCTCCAGGGCCATGCTGAATCCGAAAGCAATGGCCAGAAGGTTCTGGGTCTCTGGTCAGATGGTGGTGGACACGGGGTTCTCTAACCAGAGAGGCTCCTGGCTTTTCGTGCTGGGTGACCTACTGGGTCCAAGGTGGTCTGGGCGGAGACATCGGGGCTTCCAGGGTCAGCTCCCTGAGCCCTGAGTCACATTCAGACCTGGTCACTCAGTGTCTGTCACCGTGACAACAAGGCAGAGAAGCCACAGAGGACTCACAGCACGAGGGATGGTCCTCTCGATTGTCCCTGTGGGTCTTTCTTGGTGACACCCGGGACCCACAACCTGGCTTTCCTGTAGCCTGGGGACACTCGCTTCCTTGCATCGCGATGGGGGAAGAACCGCAGCACTCAAGCAGTGGACGTTGGGGACCAGGGAGGGACAGTGTCCAGGGACGTGGACGCTAGACCTCCCGCCCAATGTTTCCCAGAGACAGTGGCGAAAACGGACCCTCCATCAGAGAACCAAAGGACGAGATGGAGACCAACGCGTCACGAGCCCCATCAGTCATGAGATGGAGTGAATGCATTGAGCCTGATTTTATTTTATTTTATTTTCTATTTTTTACAGATTATCATTGCTGCTCTGTGGAAGGGAAGTGCTTCTTGAAAGCTGCCCACTATTACCTAACGTAGCGGGAATCTTCTGAATACCTACATCTGCCATCTGACTGTGGTGAACAGGAGAAAAATAAAAAATAATCCAAATTCACATGGATGAGATGAATCTTGAACAGTGAACAACAACCGCTTTATGCCCTACCCATTTCTTGGATATTAAAAACCATGTTTTTTATCCATTCTCAAGACTCAAAAAACAATCATAGTATCTTACGTCCTCAGAGCAGAAACGACCATCCATTCTCTCATTCTGTTTTTTTCAAACACAAGGATAATAATGTCCTTAACGCTACTATAGATTCATCCCTTCCCCGATGACTCAGGGTTAGCACAGAACATTCTAAGCTCATGCTAATTAGCACCTGTAATGAAAGCCTGTAAACCATTCTTAGAAACCAATTCATTAAAATAATTACAGTCATTAATTACAGTTTGGCTGGTCCATTAGCGACTTGGTGAATGTGCATGAGACCTGGGATACATTGCTATAATAACTATGCCCTGCATCAGAAACGTAGTTAAGCAGAAAGGTTGGAGGAAAATTCGTATGGACAGGCCATAAGAGAAGCACTTACCGTCTTCTGTGGGCACGTAGATGTTCAAGTAGAGGCAATCTTCATTTTGGTCTTGGACGTAAGTCATCAAAGTATCCAGATTGGCTGTAAACCATATTGGGAGCATGTCATGCAGGAGAGACCTCTCATCCAGGTGTTGAGGGCACACGGCGGCGAACTGGGTGGCATTCCGGACACCGGTCCAGGAGGAAGGGGGTTCTGGGGGCTGGAACCGTCTCTCCCCAGTAGGAGGCGAGGCATAGGGGACCCCCAAATATTGCTCCACGGGACCCAAAATCTCATTGGGCAACGGTGTTCTTAGCCCCCGGATTTTGCCGTAGTTGGTGTTGACGACGGGGTACTGGGCTTGGCTGTCGATGAGCGTGAACTTGATGGCGAGGGCGGTGATCCACAGCAGGACGTTGGAGTTGAGCATGACGCAGATCGGGGTGAAGAACAACGGGAGCCATAACAATCCCTTGGGCCTCGACATGGCTCACGGGCACATCCGCAGGGTGTCCAAGGGACAGGAGTCCAGGGAGAGAGTGTGCCGACGGGACGCCAGTTGGGGAGAGAGGGATTGGCGGGGGGTCAAGGACCCAGGAGAGGCCACCCAGGAGAGGCCACCTCACTCACGGCTCTTGGAGAAGCCCAAGGTTAGGAAAAAACATGGCGGACGTGTTGGGTGCCCATCGCCAGGGGGCAAGGATCCTTTAATCCTGCAGCCTGATTTCCACAAGGGGGGACGCTGTCCAGGGAAATGGTGACCATCCAACAAGAATTCCTTACGAAGACTCCAAAGCAACCTAAAAAAGAGAGAAAGTAGAGAAGGTTAAAGAGAGAAGGCTATGAGCCTCTACCCTTGGCTGGCTCTGCCACGTCATCGTCGAAGGAACACAGAAATCCCTCGACGTTAAGAAAGGACCCGCACCCCAAGGTCCAGTGGGTGGATTGATGCCCAACGTTTCTCCAGTGTTTAAGGGAATCATCTCTTCGTGGGTCTCTCCAATTGTCTCCACTGTGGGGAGAAATGGAAGCGTACACCCAGGCCCATTGGGCGCCATGACGTGTGGCTATTGATGAGATGCCACAAAAAGGCACATCCCCTCATGGGGACCTGAATGCTCCTTGGGGTACTTAGTTGCAGACCCACATGGACATCCCGTCTCACCTCCCTGAATCGGAGCTTCTTTGGACATCGCTAAACAAGATGGCGCATCCCAAGAGCATGCCAAAGTCTTGTCGCTGGGAGAAGCCATTTCTCAAAGGGTTGACCCCTGAATCCCGATTTCTGGGGACATCAATGTGTGCTCAGAGGGTTTAATTCTTCATACTGCACATGCTGCAAAGAACGGAGGGTGGATTTGGATGACATTCATGGTGAGCTTTGAAGAAGCCATGAAAAAACATGGCGGACACATTGGGTGCCCATCGCACCCACTTCCTTCGTCTGGACCTGGATAATTTGATTACCTCATTCTTAAGACAGTTGATGAGGTTGTGCACCAGTAAACCGTACTGTAAACGGAAATGGTGTCTTAAAGATGGAAAACGGCTCATTGATTTTTTCAAGAAGTACCTTCATGTATGTGTAGGTACATACATATATAGATTTGGGGGGTTCTAGAAATGGAAATCTGAGGCACTTTTCCACTGAGTTACCTCCCCAATTCCTTTTGAACAGGATCTCACAAAGTAGCTGAGGCTGACCTCCAACTTGCCATCCTCCCGCCTTGGCCTCCCAGGTGACTGGGATTATTGGCGTGAGCCACCACGCCCAACTAAATAGCATTCTTTGAGAACTTCACCCTGGGGATAGGGTGACTGCCTGGGTGTCTGCCATCCTAGACCTGGTTAATTGGGATTGAATGAAAACGGACTCAGAATCGGGATTGCAACCCGAAAAGTGAAAACCAGCCTCCCATCTGAGGCTGATGGGCGCGATCGCTTCTATCTTTGAACTCTCCCGACCGTCCGTCGGCGACGTTTGGACGTGTGCCAGGCCAACATCCAATTTCTGCATAATTAAGAGACAGAGGACGGCAACAGAGAGTGGTGACAGGGACCCAGGCTTCGGTGTCCCTGAAAACTCACTTGCTCTTTTAACCAGTGTTGGCTCTCCCCGTGGCCCCGGGAAAGAGGTGACACCGTCCACGTTCAACTCAGAAAAGCCGGGGTGAGGGGAAGGGTCTTCCTGTGAGCTGAGGGAGGTCCCTAGGTGGAAGGGTGGGTCCCATATGGTTCTGCCAGTCAACGTGAATGAGGATATCACAGGGTCCATGTTGCTCGGGACGGGTCATAGCTAGACTCCACCCTTGAACCTGAATGGCCAAGTCATCCCGGGGGCTCGGGAGGCTGAGGCAGGAGGATTGCGAGGTCAAAGCCAGCCTCCGCCAAAGCGAGGCCCTAAGCAACTCAGGGAGACCCTGTCTCTAAATAAAATGCAAAATAGGGCTGGGGACGGGGCTCAGGGGTCGAGTGACCCTGAGGTCAATCCCGGGTACAGTCCCCCCAAAAAAACAGTTATGTGAATTTGTTCTCTTCATCTCTCAAAATAGCTTCAAATACTCTATTAAACCTTCTCTTCATGATGATGTGAGATGAAACTCTGCCTAAGTGATGAGGTGAAGTGTGCCGAGAGCGCCAGGCATTGTGATGTAGCGTGAGGGTCGTTATTAAGTAAGAAAAGGTTACCTGAACACAAGAAGAGCAATACAGAACCAGTCCAGCTGATATCCAAGAAAACTACTAAGGGAGTAACAGGAGGGTAGCATATAACTTGTGGATACACTGGACGAATGGATTCCTCATGTCCTGGGCCCAGAGGAGCAGGATGGTACAAGAGATTATCAGGCTACTCCGACTAATTAGCCAAGTGACCTGTGCCACGTCCCTGGGTGCCTTGGGCTTTGTCTCCCTCAAGTGCAAAGTGACAACCTGGACCCTTGGACCAAGAGACCTCTGAAGCTGCTTTAGGTACGGACATGCCCTGATCCCAAAGACTGTCCTGTTCCAAGGCTGGAGATGAAATAGAGACGCCTGGGGGCAGAGGGTCCTGCACTCAGGTACAAGGCATCACCTTGGGGACAGGATCTGCGCTCAATCAATGACAAGCTAGTCATCCCAAAAGAGCTGGCGTTCATGTCCCCCACTGCCATGGGCATGGGAAAGGCGAGTCCCAAGACCCTGTAACCTGCCCTGGCAGGACACGGATGGGTCCCCATGGTCGTCAGCTTGAATCCACATGATGGCACCCAGAGAAATCTCACGGGTTTGTTCCCAGTTCCCAATCGCACCCCTCAGGGAACCCTGCCCTTCTGCTCACACAGCTGCGTGGATCTGGTGCGCGAGAGTTTGCAAGTGAATTTATCACATACGCTACACACAGTCCATAGAGAAAAAGAAACTGAATACGTTACTGCGTTGCACACCCAGACGAACATCCAGATACATAGATATACAAAGTCTCTGTTGCATTATATACTATACTTTGTGCATGTTATATATTATGTATGATTACTTATTATATATGTGTGCATATTGTATAGTCTTATATATAGGAGCCCAAAAGTGTAGTATCACAGTGGTTAGGATGATCTGTGTGTGTGTGTGAATATATGTGCACACCCACATACATATGCACACATATATATGTATATTAAATATAATACACAGGCATGTATCATATATACTGTACATATATGTGCACAATACACATATATTGTTTACACACATATGTATGCATTCGTGTGCATATATACATACATATGTAGCATGCATATATGTATATAAGTAATTAATCCTATTAGTTTATATACACATATATACACTTGAACTGTATATCTACATATGCATATGCAAATTACATACAGCAAGTTTTAATATATTACATATGTGTGTGTATACCTAAAGTGCAAATATATGTAGATATAAAAACTAATCACACATACTGTATTACAGTATATTAGATGTATATTTCATAAAGAAGCCCAAGAGCTTATTATTATACTGGTTAATGTGTGTTTGCATATATAGGCATATGTATGTACACATATGTACACATATGTACAAACACATACATATATGTATATGTGTACAGGTACCTGAAATATATATGCACATATATGCATGCAGAATTACTGCATATTATTTGTATATATTTATACCATATATACACATATACACATACACACATATTACACACGTACACACACATACACATATAAATCATTCACCCAAAATATTCACACACAAAATGTTAAAATTTATCTTATATACACTTTTCAATGTGCATGTCTATCATATATATATATATATATATATATATATATATATATATATATACACATATAAGCTAATATGAAGTGATTCTTTATAAGTATAAACTAATATGAATTAATACATATATAATAAACTATATATAAAGAAACACGAAGTAATTCGGTATATATCATACCCAATATAATGTATATATTCTGTATTATATATATGTACACATCACATATATTCATATAATGTACATAGAATTCACATGCTATATTCATGTTACATATAACATTATTTCGTATTAGTTTTTATATATTTGGACCTTAAAGACATTTTTTACACACACACATGCACACACACACACAGTATATGTATATGTATGAATGGATGTCATACACACTGGGTGTGCACACAGGTGCCACTCTTCCACAGGACGCTGGCTTTCTGCTTCCCCAGGTGGCCTGGGCAGTACTGTGTGCGGGGACCAGCTGCCATGTGTAGACTGGCACCCAATGTGGTCCATGCATGGAATACCATGAGGCAGGGGAGGGCGATGGTCAGAATCACCATCTGCAGCCGTGGCCTAGACGTGGCTCCCTGGGCAGCTACAGAGAGGGGTCCCGACCACCAACACCTCCACGTCCTCATGGGGAGACAGACGCTGCGGTCACAGGTCTCTCCACGGATACTACTGCAGGTGCCACCGCGTGGGTGGAGGAGACACACGTGGACATCAGTGGGACCTCCCTGGTTAAAAGCACCCAGTCGGGTGCAACTTCAGGCGCTCGCCCGTCTCCTCCCACCCTCTCCTGCCACAGTGGATGTTGCTGGCGGATCTGGGCATCGAGAGTCCTAATGATGCATGAACAAGTCTCATAGCTGACCAGAGCCAGGGGACAGGGCTTCTGCCCGGAGAGCGGCAGAAGGGTCAGGGGCTGTGAGCCAGACATGGACCCGTCCGAGACTCGCAGTCTGAGGGGCGCTCACTGAGGGGCATTCAGAGTCCGGCTGGGTCCTCCCTAAATGTTTACATTTGCAGCAAGACTCTGAGCCACCAAGGGGCTGAGGTCACGGATGATGGACACTCAGAGTGGAGAGGGCTTTGTGCCGCAGGATCCAATTACAAGGAGGAACAAAGATGCAGAAAGAATCTAGCAGGAATCCAGCGGGAGACATGTCCAGGTGACCTTCCAGGACCAGTTTCCGGGGCTCAGCTCCCACAGGTAC